AATCGCTCGAGGTGAGACGGGACAGGGCGGAGATGAGGCAGGTTGGGCCCCGACACGTGAGACCGACTCATTCCTCCCTCTCCCCCTCCTTTCCCGTTAGGAGGAGGAGCTCTTGGAGCAGATCTGGGCGACCCCGCCGACAGGCTTGCGAATGAGAGGCGCAAGGAGAGGAAAGGATCTCCCGCGCCTCACCCTACGTCCTGTCCTCATCAGGCGTGCCAATGTCCTCCGCGGCGTGGCGCGGTGTCTCGAACGAGGCCATGCGGCTAATCCTGAGCCTCATGTCACGCCGCCCGGAGAGCCGCCCAGCCTACGCTGCGGTTCGGGCGCATCCGTGGTTCGCTCGCGTTGCTGCTTCAGGCCCCTCGGTCGGCGGCGCAGAAGCGCGCGCGTTGCCCTTTGTCCCTCCTCCGAGGCCGCCGGGTCTAGAGGATGCGACGGCGCCGCGCGGCTCGACGCCGCCGCCGCAGTCCTCGCTTCTGCCCGCCCCGAGCTTGGCACCGCCCTCGCTGTCTATGCCGGCGCTGCCGCTGGCGCCAACTGTCAATGACCCCGAGGTCGAGGAGGGGCTCGCGTTTGTATGCACCACGCTCGACCCGAAGAGAGTACACGATTTGGCGGGCGATTTGCAGCTCCTTCTACTCCCTGAGCCGCACGCCATCGGGAGGGTGCGAGCGGTGACACTGCGCTTCGATGGGAGAGGCGGAGTGACTCCGCTGCCGCACGCCACGCCATCGCCGCTCGCTGTCACCGCCTGCACTCGCCTCGGTCTCCTGCGCTGGGCTACCGGAGAAGGGCCCTTCACTCCGGCGGCCGACCCGGCGGTCGGTTCCTTGGCGCCGCGCCTCGTCAGCGCGCTGGCACCGGAGAGGAGGGCGTTTCGAGCGTGGCTAGCAGAGAGACGAGCTGGCGAGAGGGAGTGTGTGGCGCCTGTGGGGCGCAGCCCGAGGCGCGTACCCTCCTTCGCGAAGCTGCGAGGCCGCGCTGCTAATGGTACTCCACGCGACCACTGACCAGAGTTTTCTAAAGATCGCATCGATATCTCTCTCACGCCGCACATGCTCTCTAGAACTCACACGGGAGGATGAAAGAAGGGAGAGGAGGACGAGCGGCCCGCACGCAGCTCGAGCCTCGACGCTCGCAGGCAGCTGGCAGGCTGCGAGAGCAGACAGCGCCTGCTGGCCATTTCGAGACATTCGCCAAGAACGCTAGCTACATGGGAGGGCTTCGTGAAGGATGGATTGAAAAACATTCGAACAAAGAAGAGGCGACGGGAGGAACCAGCAGAGGATGCAGTGACGTGACACCCCCCCCACACACACACACGCACACACCGACACACACACACACACACACATAGGCTGCCGACACACTCTCACGCGTCCACGGCGCTCGGACTGGATGGAGCCGGGCGGGACTGGCGAGCGAGCGGGCTGTGTTGCACTTCTCGACCACAGTGGTGTACCTGTGTTAGTGCCAGTGCTACAGCTTGCCTCAGAGGAAGACATGCTCTGCTGTATCATGGGGAACGCGGTGCGCCTGCGGCGGGCCGCACCACCACCCTTGGCAGCACAAAGCTGCGCCAGAGGTCCGCCAGCCCCGGCGCCGCCCCCTCGCCGTCGAAGCGCTCCTCGTCCCAAGCGATCAGGTAGCCCAGCCGCATCACCTCGACCGCCCGCTTGCGAGCCGCCTCCGGGAAGAGCTCGTGCGACTGCGGCGACCACTCCGCCGCCTTGAGGATGAGCCTGCCCACCTCCACCGCCGCGGCCGCTGGCTCCAGGCTGGCCGGCCTGAGGGAGGGCAGAGGCGTGGGGTGTGTCCAAAGAGAGGATCCGGCGAGTGGGGGAGAGGCCATAGCGCGCCTCATAGCGAGGGCCTTGGCCTCGCCCGCCACGCGCACGCCGAAGCGTCCCGTCGAAGCGCTCGCGAAAACGACGACGCCGACCTTGCCATTCATCGACGGCCGCGAGACGAGAGAGTGGATCGCGACGGTGGAGCCGACGGCCGCAGCGGTCGGATCCGACTCGCCCCACGCGCAGAGGACGTGCGCCCGCTCGAGGGCAGAAGGGTCGCCGGCTGAAGAGTCCGCGCCGCCGCGCAGCAGCGCCCGCGCCCGCTCGACGGTGAGCGCCTGCGGAAGAGGGGCAATGGGCGTGAGGTCAGCGCGCTCACGCCTTCGGCCGCTCGTCTTGGGCACGCCTCGAGGTGCTGGAGCGGCGTCCAGCCGCGGCTGGCGACCAGCCAGGCGGCGAGGTCGGCGTGGCCGCGCCTGTTTGCGATCTCCTCGGGCGTGCCGAAGGGCGTAGCGGCGCGGGAGGCTCCGTAGGAGGAGGGGAGCTGAACAACCTCGAGGTGACCCTGGTGGCACTCTTTTAGCAGTGGCGTGAGTCTAAATCGTCGGCTAGGTAATTGTAATGCGCCGTCCTTGTGAAGCGAATGGGAGCTCTCGAGCGGTGGCGGCCTGCTATAGAACTAATAGATCCGCGGCGCTGCCAGAATTCGATAAAAGCACCTGGTGTGACCATCTCGATAATAATCACTGGCGATCTCGATAGTCCCAGTTCT